TCACATAGCATTATGCATTTAAGATTAATCATCATTTTGTCTTGGCTTGATAACTCATTGTTTTTCTACTTCATCAAGAATAATTTTTATTGATGAATAGTATTTCATTCTATATGTGTCACAGTTGATTTATACATTATCCATTATCAAATACATTGAAGGAAATCTTGGTTGCTTCAAATATTTAGCAATTATGAATAGAGCTGCTATGGACATTCATGTACATTATGGGTAATTTTTTTTAATCAGTTCGGTAAATACCTATGAGCATGATGACTGGAATGTATGAAAAGACTATGTTAAATTTTTTAAGACTGCCAAACTGTCTTTCAAAGAAGCCATGCCATTTTGCATTCCCACCAGCAGTGAATGAGAATTTCTGTTGCTCTGCATTCTCACCAGCAGTTGATATTGTCAATTTATTCTGGAGTTTAACCATTCTAAAAGGTGTGTAGAGATATCTTATTGTTGTATTAATTTACAATTTCCTAATGACAAACCATGTTGAAAATCTTTTCATATGCTTATTTGCTATCTGTATATTTTCTATGATAAGGCGTCTTTTCATTTTTTGTGACAATTTTCAATTGGGCTGTTTATTTATTGTTGAGTATTAAGGGTATTTTGTCTATTTTTGATACAAGTACTTCCTCAGATGTGTGTTTTGAGGTCTACCAACCTGTGCCTTATCTTTTCATTCTCTTAATGTGTTTCCCAGAGCAGAAATTGTATGTTTAATAATGTCAAACATTATTTCTTTTTTCCCTTTTTAGGGGTTGTACTATTAGTGTTATACTTAAAAATTCATCACCACAGCCAAGTTCATGAAGATTTTCTCCTATGCCTTTTTCAAAGAGTTTTATAGTTTTGTATTTTACATTTTGGCCTAAGATCCATTTCGGTTAATATTCCTATAAGGGGTAAGGTCTCTGTCTATCTTCACTATTTGGCATATTGATGTTCCATTATTTCAGCACCATTTCTTGAAATGATTAGCCTTTCTCCATTTAATTTTTATTGCCTTGTTGTCAAATATTATTTGATTATATATGTGAATCTATTTCTGAGTTCTCCAATATGGTCTATTGATAACTCCAGCCTTCTCCTCATGCCTTTTCTCTGTACTTTCACAAATACCATACTCTCTTAATTATTGCAGACATAATATTTCTTAAAATTGAGTAGCATCTGTTCTCCACCTTTATTTTTCATCTTCAATATTGTGTTGGCTATTCTAGGTCTTTTGGTTTTTCATATAGACTTTAGAGTCAGTTTCTTAATATCTACCAAATAGTTTGGGATATATTGACTGAGATTGCACTGAATCTATACATCAAGCTGGGAAGAATTGACATCTTAACAGTAATGAATCTACCAATATAGAAACACAGAATATCTCCTCATTTATTTGGAGTTTCATTGCTTTTTATATTGGCATTTTGTAATTTTCCACATATAGATCCTAATGGTATTATGTTGTTAATTTCAAATTCTAAATGTTTATTGCTGATATATAGGAAAACATTTGATTTTTCAAATTAACTTTGTATCCTGTACTGTTGCAATAATTACTTGTTATTTTCAGGTGGTCTTTTTCCATTGATTCTTTGGGATTTTCTACACAGACAATCATATCATCTCTGATTGTCATCTGTGAACAAAGACAGCTTTATTTCTTCCTTTTCTCTTATACCTTTTGATTAATTTATTTTACTTGACTTCTTGCACTAGCTAGGACTTCCAATGCAATGTTGAATAAGGGTGGTGAAAAAAGACATTCTTGCCTTGTTCTCTATTTTAGGAGTAAGTATCCACTTTTTCAACATTATGGACAATGTTAGTTATAGATTTTCCACAGATATTACCTATCAAGTGCAGGATGTTTTCATTTGTTCTTAGTTTGCTGAGAGTTTTTGTCATGAATGAGTGTTGGATTTTTTTATATGTTCTTTCTGAATCAATTGATGAGATTTTATGATTTTTCTTTTCTAGTTTGTTCATGTTGTAGGGTGCACTGATTCATTTTTTAATTGTTGAGCCATACCTGAAATAAATTTCATTCACTCACTGTTAGTTTCAATTTGCTAATACTTTGCCAAATAATTTTTGTGTCTATGAGAGATACTGGTCTGCAGTATTTGTTTTTGTTTTTGTTTTTTCTTGTAATGTGTTTCCTTTATAAATTACCCCATCTTCCATATGTCTTTTTTAGCAACATGAGAATGGACTAATATAGTTAGTATGGCTAGTATGGCATATATTTTTCCATATCTTTACTCCTTCTCCTTTTTTTGAGACAGAGTTTCACTCTATTGCGTACGCTGGAGTGCAGTGGCACAATCTTGGCTCATGGCAACCTCTGCCTCCTGGGTTCAAGTGATTCTCATGCCTCAGTCTCCTGAGTAGCTGGGATTACAGCCGCGCAACACCATGGCTGGCTAATTTTTGTATTTGTATTAGAGGTAGGTTTCCCCGTGTTGGCCAGACTGGTGTTGACCTCCTGGCCTCAAGTGATCCGCTTGCCTCAGTCTCCCAAAATGCTGGGATTACAGGTATGAGCAACCGCGCCCAGCCCTATACTTTTACTTCTAACCTAAAGTAACTTCACTTTTATTTTAAAGTGAGGTTCTTATAAACAACCTATAGTTGCACATTGTTTTTATTATCCACTCTGACAATCTTCATTTGTGGGAATAGTGTTTTTTTATTTTTAGCATTTTCTATTGATTCTTAAACATTACCCATATGTTTATGAATGTTGTCCACTTTTTCATTGTCCCTTAACATTATAAATAGTTATTTTCAATTCCCTTCATGACAATTTTTACATCTGTGTTATAACTGTCTTTTTTATTTTTAAAATGTTCTTAACAAAATTGTATATGTTTGTGTTGTATATAAAGATATTTAATATATATATTATCTCACATACTTGTACCTTTTTTGTGGTAAGAATAATTAAAAATCTACTTTCTCACTCATTTTTAAGTATGTAATGTATTGTTTCTAACTTTAGCCACCATGATATACAATAGATGTGCTGTTATTAGTTCTATTTAGCTGGAATTTTGTGACTTTTGAATATCTCCCCATTCACCACACCTCCCAGTTTCTTGTACCCACCATTACACTCTTTGTTTCTATGAGTTTGACTTTTATACATTCTACATGTAAGTGAGAAATTGTGGTATTTCTCTTTCTGTTCCTGGCTTGTTTCACTTAAAATAATTTCCACCAAGTTCATCCATGTCATCACAAATGCTAGTGTTTTCTTTTAAAATACTACTCACTAGTAGCATTCCTTCGTGAATACATACCACATTTTCTTTATCTCATCATTTGTTGAGAGGCACTGAAGTTCATTTTATATCTTGGCTGTTGTTGCAGTGAACATTGGAGTGCAAATATCTATTTGACATATTATCATACTCTGGATATAAACCCAGGAGTAGGGTTCCTAGATTATATGGTAGTTCCATTTTTTTTAATTTGGGGGGGCATCTCCATACCATTTTCCATAATGATTGCGCTAATTTACAGTCCCAAGAACAGTGTACATGGGTTCTCTTTTCTCTATATCCTTTTTAATACTTACCTTTGGTCTTTTTGATAATAGCCACCCTAACAGGTGTGAGGTAATATCTCATTGTGATTTTAAGTTGCATTTCTCAAATACTTAGTGATGTCAAACAATTTTCATATACCTGGTGGCCATTTGTATAACTTCTTTTAAGACACGTCTATTTAGGTCCTTTGTCCTTTTTAAAAATTGGATTATTTGTTTTCTTACTAGTAAGTTGATTAAGTTACTTATATATTTTGAATATTAACCACTTGTCAGACTATGGTTTGCAAATAAATTATCTCATTTTGTAGGTTGTCCCTTCACTCTGTTGATTGTTTCCTTTACTGTGCAGACGTTTTTGATGTAACACTATTTGTCTATTTTTGCTTTGGATGCCTGTACATTTAGAGTAATATCTAAAAATCATGCTTAGACCAGTGTCATAGAGCTTTTCCCCTTTGTTCTTTTCTAGTAATTACACAGTTTGAGGCCTTTCATTTAAGTCTTTAATCCATTTTGAGTTGATTTTTGTATATGACAAAAGATATGGGTTCTTTTTTGTTTGTTTTACATTCTGTTAGTATGGTATATCACATTTATGTATTTGCTTATGTTGAATCATTTTTGCATCCCAGGGATAAATTCCACTTGATCATGGTGAATAAGGGTCTTAAGTTTTTCTTTGATGGAAGACAGCTAATTATTTATTAAATCTCCCTACTTATTATTTATCTATTCTGATTTTCCCTTTCTTCATTATTCAGTGTTGATAGGTTGTATGTGTCTAGGTATTTGTTCAGTTTGTTAGTGTACAAGTGCACCCGCTTATGATTATTTATATTTCTGTGGTATCAGTTGTAATGTCTCCTTTTTCATTTATAATTTTATGTATTTGAGTCTTCTCTCATTTTTTTAAGCTAGTCTTGCTAAGGGTTGACCAATTTTGTTTATTTTTATTTATTTATTTATTTTTGAGATGCAGTCTTGCTCTGTTGCCCAGGCTGGAGTGCGGTGGCACAATCTCCACGGCTCACTGCAAGCTCCGCCTCCCGGGTTCACGCCATTCTACTACACGCGCCCGCCACCACGCCCGGCTAATTTTGTTTTTGTATTTTTAGTGGAGACAGGGTTTCATCGTGTTAGCCAGGATGGTCTCGATCTCCTGACCTCGTGATCCGCCTGCCTAGGATTCCCAAAGTGCTGGGATTACAGGCATAGTCTGTTTATCTTTTTAAAAAAACCAACTCTTATTTGTGTTGATGTTTTCTATGATTTTTCTAGTCCCTATTTCATGTATCTATATGCTGATCTTATTTCCTTCATTCTACTAACTTTATACATAGTTTATTCTTCTTTTTCTAGGTCTTTGGGGTGTAATGTTTGGTTATTTCTTTTCTTTCTTTTTTTTTTTTTTTTTTTTTTTTTTTTTTTTTTTTAGGGGAAAGCGTGAATGCAGTCCCCCACTACTGCAAATTATATATTTCAGTTTCCTACATTTGGGGAAATCACAGGGGTCAGCATATCCGGACTGCAATGGATAAGCTTTGCCCTGGGAAAACCACCTTCATGATTATGGCATCTCCCCTGCCAGGTAAGTATGTGTTCGGTTATTTCTTTGATATATTGCTTCTGTTTTCATGCAGGTGTTTATATGTTTCACGTAGGTCTAACTTCACTCTTAGAACCACTTTTGCTGCATCCCCTAAGTTTTCATATGTTGTTTTTCTATTTTTGCTTGTCTCAAGATGTTTATAATTTCTCTTTCAATTTTATTTGACCCTTTTGTTGTTCAGAAGCATGTTGTTTAATTTTCACATATTGTGAATTTTCCAGAATTTCTCCATTTATACCGTTTTATTCATACCATTCTGGTCAGAAAAAAATTCTTGATGTTATTTCAATTCTCTTAAAGTTGTTAAGACTTGTTCTGTGCCTAACATGTGATATGATTCTAAACCAACATGTGTATTCTGTCCCTGTTGGATGAACTGCTTTGTATATGTTTCTTTTGTCCATTTGGTCTAAGTATAGTTCAAGTTCAATGTTTTGCTGTTGGTTTTCTGTCTGGATTATCTGTTCATTGTTAAAAGTGGGATATTGATGTCCCCTACTATTGTTATATTGCAGTCTATCCCTTTCTTCAGATTTATTAATATTTGCTTTATATGTTTAGATGTTTTGATTGGTGGTGCATACATGTTTATAATTCCTACATCTCCTTGATAAATTGAACGCTTTATCATTATATAATGATCCTTTTTGTCTTGTTATACAGGTTTTTACTTAAATAAAAGTATAGCTACCCTTGCTGTCTTTTGGCTTTCATTTGAATGGAATATATTTTTTCATTCTTTCACTTTACTGTATTTGTGTCCTTAAAAAGTGAAATGATTCACATAATTGATTTCTTTAAAACTCTATTTAGCTACTCTGTGTTTCTTGGTTGCAGAATTTAATCTGTTTATCTTCTAGGTAATATATTGATAGGTAAGGGCTCACTAATGCCATTTTGCTCATTGTATTCTGGTTATTTTGTAGATCCTTTTTCCTTTTTTTTCTTGTTGTTTTCCTTTGTGATTAGATCATATTCTTTAGTCGTATGCCTTAGATTTTCTACTTTTTACCTTTTGTATATCTACTATAGCTTTTTTATTTGTGGTTACCATGAGGCTCAATGTAAAACATTTTATATATTATATAGAAGCTATTTTAAGCTGATAACAAACTTAATTTTGATTGCATAAGATAACTCTACATATTTACTCCACCCACATACATTTTCATAGTTTTAATATCAAAATTTAAATATTTTTGTATTGTTTATCCCCTAACAAATTATTGCAGCTATTATTTAGTAGTTTTATCTTTTAACCTTCATACTAAAGACAGAAGTAATTTATACACCATCATGATAGTATCAGAGTATTCTTAATATGGTTGTGAAATTATTTTTACCTGTGAGTTTTATACTTTCATTTTTTTTGTTACTAATTAGCATCTTTTAATCTCATCTTGAAGTACCACCTTTAACATTTTTTGTAAGACAGATCTGGTGATGATGAACTCCCTCAGCTTTTGTTTGCTTGGGAAATCTATCTCCTCTTTATTTCCAAAGAAGAGCTTTGCCAGGTATGGTATTCTTGGTTCACAATTGTTTTCCTTCAGCATTTTGAATATGCTTCAATATTTGAATATTTCAAAATATCCATTTTGAAAGTAGAATAATAATTCCACTTTCTCCTGGTCTAAATCTGCTAAAAAGTCCCCTACTAAAACTACTGAAACTCCCTGATATGTGATTTGCGTCCTTTGCTGCTCTCAGTATCCTGTCTTTGATTTTTGACAGTTTGATTACAATGTCTTGATGTAGACTGTTTGGATTGAATCTGATTGGGACATTTAACCTTTTGTATCTGGATATTTATATCTTTCTCCAGATTTGCGAAGTTTTCTGCTATTATTTATTTGAATAAAATTTCTGCCACTTTTTCCCCCATTTCTCGTCATAAAGTTTCTATGATTTGGGTTTTCCTTTTTTGATGCTATTCCATAAATCTCATAAGCTTTCTTCTTATTTATTTTGTTTTCTTTTTTCTGCTTTCTCAGTATATTTACATTACTTCAAGTTCACAGATTCTTCTACTTGATTTGCTGTTAACTTTCTGTATTAACTTTTTTTTTCCATTCATTATATTTTTAGGCTCTAGAATTTTCTACTTGATTTTTTTAATAATGCAAAATTTATTTAATGATAAAGATATTCATAGATTCAAATAATTAATTTAAAATATTAATCATTTAATAATTATTTATTATAATTATATAATTTAAATAAATAATTTTAACTGCTAAATTTTTCATTTCAAATCACTTATCGCTTTTCTGATTTCAATAAGTCGTTTCTCTGTATTTTCCTGGAGTTTACTGATCTTCCTTAAAATAATTACTTTGTATTCTTTGTCAGGAAGTTTGTAGGCTTTCATTTGTTTGGGGTCAGCCTCTACATTCTTGTGGTGGTATTATGTCTTCTTGGTTTTTCGTATTTCTTGTTGTCTTATATTGATGTATGTGCATTTGGTGGAGTAGTCACCACTTGCAGACTTCACAGGCTAGTTTCAGTGTGGAAAGATCTCCCCCTAAGTGAGAAGAGAGGCTGGGAGCAGAATGTGATGGTTAATATTAGGTGTCAATTTGACTGAACTGGGAGATGCCTAGATGGCTGCTAAAGTATTTTTCTGTGTGCGTCTGTATGGGTGGGTTGCCAGAGGAGATGGACATATAAGTCAATAAAGTGTGAGAGAAAGTCCTATCATCAGTATGAGTGTACACCATACAATCGGTTGCCTACACAGCTAGAACGAAGCAGGCAGAAGTAGGAATAAGCAGCTTACTGATTCTCTCACTTTGTTTCTCTTCCTGTGCCAGATGCTTGACTCTTCTCCTCCTGTCCTTGAACATCAGACTTCAGGTTCTTTGGCCTTTGAACTCTGTGACTTGCACCAGTAGCCTCCCAAAGGCTCTTGGGCACTTGGCCTCAGACTGTGGGTTATGCTGTCAGCTTCCCTGGTTTTGAAGCTTTCAGACTTGGACTGAGCCATGCCACTGGCTTCTTTCTTTCCCAAGCTTTCAGACAGCCCATTATGGAACTTTGCCTTTTATCATGTCAGCCATTCTCCCTAATCAACTCTGTTTTATATACACACATATCTTATTGGCTCTCTACCTCTGCAGAACCCTGAATAATACAGGAAATGTGAAGGCACTTGCTGGGTGGGGTGAAGCAGTTATGACACTTAGGAGGGAGTAGCTAAGTAGTCTTGGTGCAGCTCTGTCAGTTGATATTGATGTTGAAGATTTCTCAGTTTTTTATTGACTCGTTTCTCTACTATGACATTTACATGTGTTAATTCTTATATAGTTCCCTACTTCCTCAGAAAGAACAGGAAAACTGGAATGGGCAAGAGTGAGAGGAATGCCAGTCCCCCACTGCTTTGGAACAAAGCTTTGTTAAAGTCTTTCCCCCTGGAAAATAGTCCTTTGTTATGGAGAATGACCAAGACATTTCCACAATGATTACTCCTGCCCCTGCCCAAGCCACAAAGTGATATTTCTTGGATTTTTACCACAAGAATGTGGTTGGATTCTTGGAGGCAAGACCCAGGAAATTATTAGGGCACTCCTATGTCTACATGCCCTCTTAAGAAATTCTCAATCTCAGGCCAGCAATTCAGCTTCAAACAATTTATCAAAATTATCATCTAAGTGTGCTTACTACTCTATGGTTCCAGCGGCTTTTGTTCTCAGTAAATAGGTCTCAGCTGTAACATTCAACATTAGCCTATGGAAACTCCTTTCTCTGGCACATCTAACAGGAGTCATTGATTTTGCATTTGTTCAGTATTTTCTTGTCGTAAGGACACGAGTAACAACTTCCAGGATTTTTACATGTCAGTGCTGAAAGTGGAAACCTCTATTTAGAAAAATTGTTAATAATAACATTTTAAGTAAAAAATGATATGGAAGAGGAAAACTTTATAAGTTACTTCTGTCTAATTCTCACCTTGGATCTATTTAATTTCAAGTACCTGAATCTATGTGTTTAATAGTGTGGTTAAGTTGTAGTTTATGCTGATTTAATAAACCATAAAAGCAGAAGAAACACTGGATTCAAATAAATTTGTAATTGAAATTCTGCAATTAATAATTTATGTTCTCCTTGTGTGATTAGCCAAAAAACTGGATCCTGGATTAGTCTGGCTGCCAGTTATATCTCAAAGAACATTTGAAAAGAAAAATATGGCTAACACTTTTAAAAAGCCCCTTTTATTTTCTCATTTGTAATATTCTATTTGTTTATTCTGAATGTTCACATTCACAGTCAGATGTGTGCAGTGTTTCCATTTTGGCCTATTCTATGTGCAAGCTTAATTAAAGATAATAAAAGAAAACCGCTAACTCCAATTTTCTAAATTCTCTTCTGAACCATAGAAGAAGAATAACCCCCAAGAACACCACACTACATTTTTAAGGCAAAGTATTAGGCCAGCAGCAGACATTGTCCTCATTTTCTGCCTCCTCCACACGGCCATTGGCATTCTAGGCTATTTTTTTAGTCTGTGATCCCCATCATTAAAGGGTTGGAGCTGATATACAGCCAGTTTCACCCACTGCACAGATGCAGGAACCGATGGAGGAAAACAAGACTGAAAATAAGTACCTGTGATTTAGAAGAAAAAACAGTCATATCAAAGACAAAACATCGAGGCATTGTGAAAGCAAAGTGTGATACAGCTGAGCTATGTTACAGCACCAAAATGATTTAATTGACTACACATTAAAAACAAAAGCTGTCTGCCCAATGGTTTTTAAAATAAAAACAATGATTAATAATGAGTTATTCAATTTAAAAATATTTTCTAATTACTTAGATATTCTTATATGAAAAATGATTTTTCTGCTAATAAAAGTCTATATTGTAATATTCAAAGAATGAAATAGTGCTGGATTTTGAATATTTTCCAAAGGAAGGAATCTTAGGTAATTTGCATGTGTTTTTCTTCTGCTTTCTTTGTATAAAAATAGATATAAATAAGGACTGT